ATAGATAGATAGATAGATAATAGATAGATAGATAGATAGATAGATAGGTAGGTAGGTAGGTAGATAGATAGATAGATAGATAGATAGATAGATAGATAGATAGATAGATAGATAGATAGATATAGACCAAGGGTCTTCAAACTTGGCAAGTTTAAGACTTGTGGACTTCAACTCCCAGAGTGCCTCCTCTAGTCCTGTTAGCTCAGGCATTCTGGGTGTTGAAGTCCACAAGTCTTACAGCTGTCAAGTTTGAAGACCCCTGTTTTACACCAACTGAATCTATACAATCTTGCACTAGCTCAGGGGTCGGCAACCTTAAACACTCAAAAGAGCCACAAATATCCTAACTGGAAGGCCCACCTCCCATTCAGTTCTGGAGCCGACCAGACTCTATGGTGGTTCCCCCACCATAGAGTCTCCTCCTAGCGCAGCGTCCTTTTTCCTCTGCCTGTCCTAACCAAAAGCCCTATCAATCGTGGAGCTGACAGGCAACAGGGAGCCATGCAGCAGAGGGATGAAAGAACCACATGTGGCTCTAGAGCTGCGGGTTGCTGACTCCCTGCAGTAGCTGGATCCACACAATTCCTCCTGCTCCAATTTGGACCTTGAAGGGGTTCTCTTTCATTGCCTCAGCATAATACAGGGAGTTCTCAACTTACAACCATTCCTTTAGTAACCGTTCAAATTTACAACGGTACCCCCAAAAAGTGACCCGTTTTTCACACATACTGTTGTGATTCGCTGGCAGCCTGTGCAAATGGCAGCGGAATCGGACAGTGGGGAAGAACGGGGACCAGTCTAGGAGTCTGGAGAAGACTCAGACGAGGGTCCTGTGTCTGATACAGAGATGGGGCCAAGACCACCTGGGAGTTATGTGCTGACTCTGGAGCCTCCAGAGTCTGGCAGCAGCGAGGCAGAGGAACAAGGGGAGCCTGTTCCCATTGTGCATGCACAGAGCTGCTAGAAGGCAAGAGCAGCTAAGATAAAAGGGGAGACTCAGGAGTAAGGCTGGGAGGTGATTGGCCCTCCCATAAGGTATAAAGGGCAGGCAAAGGTAGAGAAACCTTTGCAGGAAGCAAAGTCGTTTGTTCTGTTCAGATTAATCCTTGAAGCTCTGTGTAGACTTGGTACTTCGGTTGGATTTTTTAATTCATTTGGCACTTTAGTTGTTGGCAGCAGTTCAAAGGAGAGAGAGGTGGGTGCTTATCTCGAGGGACTGTTTGGGGTTCATTACTGGCTGGGAATGAACTTAATTCCCAGCGTTGAAATAAAACAGGAATTGTTTTAATTAATCATGTGCTTAATTACAGTCTCAGGAAGCCTTGGTCAGAACACATACAACCATTGCAGCATCCCCATGATCAGGTGATCGAGATTTTGGACACTTGGCAACTGGCATGTACTTATGACAGTTGCAGTGTCCCGGATTCACGTGATCCCCTTTTGCAACCTTCTCAGATTCACTTAACAACTGGGTTACCCGCTTAAAAACCACAGGGCTTCACTGAATGATTGTGGCAAGAAAGGTCCTAAGATGAGGCAAAACTCACTTAACAACGGTTTTGCTTAGCAACAGAACTTTGGGACTCAATTATGGGCGTAACTTGAGGAACACTTGTATATATTTATTTAAAAATAATAATCACTTTTCCTGTTGCGCAACGAAGGGACCTGTCCAGGGTGCTGACAAGATTCTTCGAAAATACGTCGTAACACATTTTTTTCCAAAAAGCACAACAAGGGTGGTTTAATGATTAGCAAGAATTGGAACGGGCAGGAAGTCGTGGAGGCACGGGTTTCCTTGACAAATTAAGAGCCACCTTCTCCAATCTGGTGCCTTTCAGATGGATTGGATGCAATCCTTTCACCAGCTGGTTGGATCTGCTTGAGAAGGCGGAATCCGAATGTTGTCAGTTTGCTAATGGAGTTTTTTGCCCAGCTCCTAAACCAGGATTTTTGGTTTGGTGGCTGGTATAAATCCAGACATTTTTTTTCTTCTTCTTCTAAACCATAGCTTATGCTCTTAATGCGATGTTTTTCAACCTTGGCATCTTTAAGATGCACAGACTTCCAACGTGCTGGCTGGGGGATCCTGGGAGTTGAAGTCCACAAAGGCTGGTTGGAGAATTCTGGGAGTTGAAGTCCACAAAATTATCTGCTACAATGTCCTACCAGTCAATGACTACTTCAGCTTCAACCGCAAGAATACACGAGCACACAGCAGATACAAACTCAATGTAAACCGCTTCAAACTCGAATGCAGAAAGTACGACTTCAGCAACAGAGTGGTCAATGCCTGGAATGCACTACCTGACTCTGTTGTTACATCCTCAAACACCCAAAACTTTTAACCTTAAACTATCCACCATTGACCTCACTCCATTCCTAAGAGGTCTGTAAGGGGGCATGCATAAGCACACCATCGTGCCTCCTGTCCCTGTCCTATTGTCCCCATTTATTCGTACCTATTTCCTGTATTCTTACTCATGTTTATGCTTATACCCAGGGGTGGGAATGTACCGTTTCTGTCCACCTCTGTAGAACCGGTAGCTCTGAAGAGCAGCAGACATAGAACCGGTTCTATGTCTGCTGATGTTTTGGCCCACCTGCCCGCCCGGACTCTTACCTGACCTTTATTTCCTGCTTTTTCAACCTTAGCTGCTGTGCAAGGCACAGCTGCAGTTGAAAAAGCAGGAAAAAAGGGCTTTTTCAAGCACTGCTTCTCTGCACTCAGCGCTGCTCAGCTGTCCGGGCAGCAAGCTGATGATGATTTACAGGCACGTGCAGTGTGCAGGGAAGCACATCGTAAATCACGAACCTTGTAAATCACCAAACTGGTAGTTAACCCTGTCGGATCCCACCCCTGCTTATACCTATTATCTTGTAAGCGATTGACAATTCAAATAAAAATAAATAAATAAATAAATAAATGCTGGCTGGGGGATTCTGGGAGTTGAAGTCCATGCATCTTAAAGATGCCAAGGTTAAAAAACACTGCTCTGAAGTGTTATGGTGGCTTGTTCAGTAAACCAGATATGAGAAATTATGGTGTTTTTTTTTAAAGCTTGTGATATAAATTTTTCCCTCTTCATGTTGTGGCACTCACAGTGTTATTTATGGTCAATCACAATTCTGCAATTTTGCATTGAGATATGAGCCTTCCTTTCTCTCCCTTTACATAAAGGATCTTATGCTATAGAGCAGTAGGAATTGGTAAGGTGGCATATAAATTTAATAAGGAAAATACAAACCTACAGGTAATCCTTGCCTTAGAACCATTCATTTAACAACTGTTTGAAGTTATACCTGCCCTGAAAAAAAATCCTCGCAGTTAAGACCATCATGGTCATGTGACCAATATTTGGGCACTTAGCAACTGGCATGTATTTATGACGGTTGCAGTATCCTGGGGTCACGTAACCACCCTTTGCAACCTTCCGAACTGACAAGCTAAGTCCATGTGGGAAGCCAGATTCACTTAACAACTGCATGATTCACTTAACAACCATGGCAAAAGATCATAAAATGGGACACAACTCACTTAACAACCACCTTGTTTTTAGCAGCAGAAATGTTGGGCTCAACTGTGGTCATACATCAAAGACTACCTATAATTTGAGATTTAACGGACTTTTGGATTTAACAGACTTTTGGATTTAACAGACATGCACTTTCCCTGTTGGCACATTCAACCAAATATGTAAAAACGACTGAGTTCCCTACACCTCGCTAAATAAACCACAATCAATGGGTTCACACAACCCATTAAACCAAAACCTGTGAAACTGTGTTCTGGTTTAAGGCAATGTGTGAACTCAGGGATTTAGGTAGCAGGATCCTGAACCATCTGTATGCAAATTTTCTCAGTGCAAAAAAGCAGCATCGGTTCTTCCATTCCGGACTGCTATAACAAAAGGCTTTAACTAGATTCTCTGAAGTTGAACACCCAAATCTGCTCTACAGGCTGTTACCCAGGGACCTCTGAGCATAAACAGAAAGCCAAAGCCAGGAGAGAATAAGAAGGGGTGTTTGAACACATAGCCAACAAGAGAGTGAAACTAAAGAGGCATTTCCCGGGATTGCCCAAATAAATGAATCAATGGAAACTCTACAATTGCCAAGTCAATACTCACAATTCCGTCTCTTTCGAACGTAGCAGACATCTAGAGAGACAGAGATCCCAAAGAGGAGGAGGAAGAGGAAGAGGAGGAGGAAGGAGAGAAATTGTGGAGGGGTAAGACACACTGTTCTGGCTTGGGCAAATGCTGCTTGCAGGAGTGAGCATGCTCATCTCGCTGGCTTTGCATCCTCTCCAATGCGCTCAGAAGCAACGGCGCCTGTCAACAATATTTCTGGGGTGCCTCCTCACCATCCCCTACAGGGGGGAAGTGGACTCTCCATTCAAATCACACCTGATTTTTTTTTTCCCCTGAAGAAAAAAGCTTTACTCATTGGGCTGTCCCCTAATTCGGGGACATCCATCTGTCAAGCACTGAGAAAATTCCAGCTATCTCAAAAGGAACAGCCTCTCCCGTCATAGGCTTGACGGACAGATGACAGACTCTAATGGCTGATGTTCCCCTAAGCACCTTTGATCCTCCTCTCTGTCATTTCCAACCCCAACCTGGGCTAAAATGGCAGTGCTCCATTCTCACACCACCTTCCTACCACCTCATCAACAGCTTCTTTAACCAACCCAAGTATTCAAGTATTTCCGGAGGTTTATCTGTATCCTTTGATGCTTGGAGCATCTTTGATTCCCCAGAGATGCTTAAAACTTACCTGGGCATATTCTCCAGCTTCACCTGAGTTCCTTTTGGTCCCCATCATGGCCTCCTCATCGTTTCATCTCTGTTTGTTTTTTTTCCAGCCCTCGTTGCAAACGTGGTTGGTTTGTTCAAGGAAGAAGTTAGTCACGTCTACTGCTGGGTTGCTCTCATGCATCATCCTCCAAAACTAGGATTAAGACGGTGTCGTAAGAATGGGAGGCTTCTCTTGTTGGCATGGATTTGACTTCATGCTCTCTTCTTCCAAGATGGGTTGCATCCCTTTCTGGAAACTAGATAAATTTCCTTTAATATGTCATTTATTGCATTCACCTTCCTCTTTTCTGCTCTTCCTTTTCCCTTAGCAAGTGAGGAATTTTTGTTAGCCGAGTTATTATGCTAGAAAATGAGATCTGTTCCCTTTTTAGCAACTTGGATTCTTCTCTCTTGCATCTTTCCTTTTTTTTTTTTTTTCCTTTTTCTAAAAATTAGTTTAAACTACAGGGATTGTGTATCTGGAGGAAGCTTCTCCCGAAGCGGAAGCATCAATCTGTCGATTGGCAGATGGAGCAGTTGCTAAAGAGCAGTCTGTAGGAAGGTCAACGCAACAAGCAAGAGAAATTTGGAGCGGATTTGCTCGGTGTTCAATTATGGGCACGTCAAAGCAGAGCTGGAATCTGGGCAGAGGAAAGCGATGTTTGTAGATCAACTTGTCTAGCCGCACTCCGTAAAATACTGAATTTGTAACAGAAGACCTGCGAAGGTAAAAAAAAAAAAAAAAAAATCAACTGATATGTGATAGTTCATCTCAGGGCCAGCTGTTAATTGCATGTGCAGAAGATCTTGGGAGACTGGATGAAAAGACACTGCCAAGGGAATGGTCAGATAAGAGATAACACAGCTGGATAATGGACAGGGCAAAAGCTCAGAAGAAACCAGTGGTGGGATTCAAAAATTTTTACTACCGGTTCTGTGGGTGTGGCTTGATGGGCGTGGCAGGGGAAGGATACTGCAAAATCCCATTCCCTCCCCATCCCACTAACCTGCTTTCCAGCTCTGTTCTCCTGTGCAGGGCAACCAAAGGAGACCCAGCCAATCAGCTGGGACTCGGGAGACGGAGAAGAGATGGGGGCATGGCCGGTTAGAGGTGGGGTTTGCCGGTTCTCCAAACTACTCAAAATTTCCACTACCAGTTCTCCAGAACTGGTCAGAACCTGCGTAAACCACCTCTGGAAGAGACCTTCCCTAATTTCTCAGGCCGTAAAGGAGACTTGAGCAGTGTTGGAGGGGGGAGAATTATATTTTAGACCTACAAGGTTCACTCAATTTAATTTCACAGTAAAATAGAATCAGCTCATCTAGTT